ACCCGGAGTACGGAGTACATGATGCAGGAGATGCATCATTGCCACCATGATCGTTGTTAGTGTATTTGTTCATTTACTCCTCTCTGACTCTTTTTTTGACTTTTCTTCTCATTTAAATGTTCCGAGCCCAGAAATAGACTACTCAACTCGGCTTTCATCACAGGTTCACAGCCAATCGTCTAGGTCGGCTTGGCTGAATCGAAAACGGGAACGAAAAACGGAGACCTGGGACCATGCGAGGTTTAGGCTACCTGCATTTTTGCAGGATCAACATTTGGAGGTCATTCTCTAGTATCACCTGAGAAAAAGAAAAGAGGGGCGCCAACTAAAATATAGCTAATACGTCGTAGCGTATCGATTGACTCAACGTTTGTGGGCCTGTTTCATCGGGGGCGTGGCACAGAAACCCATCACAGACGCCACCAAATGGGAATATGGGAATACAACATGGTAGGCAATATACGGAGCAGAAAGCAGCCTAGTAAAAAAGCCTCCTCAAAAAGCCTCGTAAAAAAAAAGAGCTCTGAGCGGGAAGCTCGGCTATTCCAAGCGGTTGAACCCCCGTGGAACTTAACTTTTGAGTTCAGATTAAGCGGAGTTTTTCAATGACGTTTGAAGATGTATTTAGAATGTGATCTGTCTTCATAATCAGTCTCATATCACCTGCAGCTTATGTACAATGTACCCCGTACAGTATAGGCAGGTTGCAGGTTGCAGAACAGACAGTTCCAAATCCCAATCTAAGATTGGCGCCAATTGCCAGAACTTGGCGTCATAAACTCAGAACTAAATTGAATGGAGCCTACAATAGGAAAAAAAAAATTAAAAAATCCAGTTTGTGTCAGAAAAAGGAGTAACTGGAGCCATTCACAACGTGGCTAGGTGGATCTGATCGTGCTTAGGGCTCTGCCAAAGCCAAAAACAGACCAACACCCGGTCAAATCCCGGGCCTTTGGTCAGGGGCGCTTTCTTTTATTTTTCTCTAATCTATTGATATTGCCAGGATTCAGTTTGGAGATAACAATTTAAATGAGTTCATACATGTCTAACAAAGTACGAAAAACGGAGTACTCAGTAGAGGACTGTTTCAATATATGAGACTATCTACTCCGTAATAGGAGCCGATCTCGATGCAAAACACATCAAGTCCATCACGCGGCATCCAAGCCTGCACTGGAACGCATTTGTAGATCCACTTGATGCACCATAAAAAAGGGAGGGAAAAAAAAGAAAAGTGGAAAAGAGGAAATAATTGGAGATAATTTTCCAGAAGGCCAGATGTGTCTGATTTGTCTTGATCAGAGTTCTCTAGTGGAACCGCTGACATCGGAAAAATGCCGATCTCGAATGGTATGCCACTGAGCACACCGTAACAGCGGCACAACGTTAGAATTTCTTTTAAGGATCCAGCCCCGGTCTGATCATCCCTTGGAAATACAACAAAGAGTCATCTCAGGATTCAGCTTATGTTGTCCTCCAGAGTATGAAATAGCAAATACGAGATTCCCAAAAACCCTGCATACCGGGCAAGATCCGAGGCCCAGTACCATGTTTTTTGTTTTCAATATAATCAAATCTACTTTACTATAGTGAACTAGTACGAATAAGTATCATATGGAGACCGAGAAGTACGTTGTAAAGCAATCAGCGGTCTCGTCCGAGACCAGGCGCTAGATCACAAATCAAAAAAATCAGCCTCTTTTTTTCCTTTTTTCCTTTTTTCTTTTTCGCTCCAAGGGCAGTAACTTCCGAAAGGGCGTGTATTATATATCCACTAAGGGACAATCACTAGTCATGAACTTCCCATTTCACCCCCTCTACGAATCCACCACCCTCTCCACTATTGGGGCAACACAGGATGGCGGAGCCGATCCCAGCTTCCTTCATCCTTCCAGACGTTCCAAGTCGGGGGTTATGATTGCCCGGTTCCCCTTCTTAGCCCCAAAGAATGCAGCGGGAGCTGCGGGCCAGGTCAATTTGGCTTGCTTTAGCGCCATGTCATCAGCTCCTTACGGTGTAGCATCGGGTGCACGCGTCCTGGTCACCCTAGTCCCCGTGCGTTCTTTGTTTCTTGTTTTTGGGGCTGATGTGTGAAATGTGATGGGAGTGAACAGGGATATGAAGTACTCCGTAGTACTCCGTACTCCGTGCCTGTGGACGAAATACGGACTACAAAGGAATAAAATAAATCATTTTGCTCGTTTATCACCACGGTCGCTATCCCCCAAATCAGATGTTGGTCAGCATTATTGGCGGGACCCATCTTAGGGACTCGACGATCGTTGGGATTATCCTCCGACATGACCCAAATAATGTCTTCAACGTTGAAACTTTGCGCTGCCGTATCCCGATAGGCTGCAATGTTAGAATCAGCTGCTTCAGAACTGGGCGATTTTCCAGCTATTTCAATCCCAGTCTAGACCCTACAAGGGCCGTGTGACGCAGCACCTGGGATATACAGACACGTAAGGTCTAATGCACGATAGACGATGAAGGCTGCAGCCTCACGGTTATCCTTCGTCATCGACTCTTTAACTCTACGAACCATAATCCGATTCGAAAGTCAAAGATGTGTATCGGGCGCAATTCATAAATGCAGGCTACCATCCTCGGTAGCGTTGGGTCCTGACGCCACGCAAGGTCCAGGTCCAGGTCAAAGTGCAGGGGGAAGACATTCCTTATCCGTCTGAAGTCAAACGTATGACCGGTGGCGGAGCAAAAAAACCCAGGGTGGATGTGGTGATGGGAGGATGTGTTGAGTCAAAGAGAGACAATGACGGCGCCTAGCGGTCAAGCCAACGTGGTTCTCCTCAAAGAGGTTGGGCCAATCACATTTCTCCACCCGAATCTATCGAAATTACTCCAAAACCTTCGAAAATCTCCAAAAGTTACGGAGCGCTCAATTTAGCAATTTACCTGCAACCATTCACTTTTTCCCGTTTCTCCTCGGTACTCAACCGTCACAGGTTCCACATTCTTGGTCTATGCACTCGTCCTTTTTTTCCATAACTCATGTGCTGATCTCCTTAGTATGCTGATCTTGTTCCCAACAAGGGAAAGTCAAAAGATCAATGAGTTGGGGATCCATACTCCTGTACTCCGTACACATGCAGGGGTTGATCCTGAGGGGGGGCTGCCCCTCGTAAACTACTACGTAGCTCCATTAGCCACTATTTACTACGGAGTACGGAGTACTCCGTGTGCTATTACTATTTTTTTTCCCCCGATAATGTCCAACAGTCGACATGTCTAGCTTATACATACCTTGAAAGACATACAGGTGTCGCTGGAATAAGCCCGGTGCAGCTGATGGCAGGGGTATATGCAACGAACAGCTGCAGTGAGATGGCACACCATTTCTAGGGTTATATCGGGGAACACAATCCTATCAATGGCGATGATCTTAGACTTGATTTTCGGCAGTTATCATGTGCTTGTGAGAAAGATTTGCCCTTCTAGACCACACCAATTACCAATTTACCGTAAGCAATATTGTACATGAGATTAGAGGTGCTTCGAAGTGCCCTTTATTGCGTAAACGGCAAAACAAATACATATCCACCTTGTAATTCTACCTTTTCCCATGCTTTTTGCTTCCAAAATTGAGAGGGGCTCAAGCCCTGAAGCCATCTCCCGCGCTCTCCATAAGCTCTCCATAATAAAATTTAATAAACTAGTCCGAATGAGGAAATCTAATTGCCCGGGCTCGCGTTAAGACTTTTGAGACATCAAAATCTTGCCTATCACCCATGCACCCCCGAGCTCCGATTCGGCTCCTGTACCTGGGAGATATACACCCGCTTAGTCTTCACCGCGTTCTCCATCGAGCACACTTGCAATTTTGTCGGCGTTCCACAACCGGGTCTATATGCCGAGGCACACTGATGTGATATACAGTGCTTCCGTATGTACCTCTCCACACACACAGGAAGTCTGCGTCTTTCAGTCTGCATCGTGAGTGTACAACGTATGTGTATACAACATACTACCCATATGTACTCCGTAATATGCACCGAGTCCACATCACTTCACCTTGTCATTCATTCCACCTCCCTACATATGCACCTCCAACACACCAACACTGATGAAGTGGTATTCCGTACGGAGTAACTACTCCGTACACAAACTCCATAGTTAATTTCACTCTAAAGATCACCCAACGAGAGAAGAAAAAAAACCGTATTATTAGTGGAAATGACCCGCCTAAAGCCCCAGTTTATCCTAGTCGCCCCCCCCCCACCTAAACCGAGTATCATTTCCATATCGGATAAATGGTCTAACGGAGTCCCTCTCCCGCTTCTTTCCCGTTCCAACAGCGACAGAGTGGATACATATTTCGTAGAGGTGGTTACCAAGGGCGATGAGCACATTATTGAATTTCGGGCACTGGCCACTGCAGTAGGCTGGATTTTTTACACTTTACTTGAGTGTAATCTCGTAGATCACGGGTGGAGTGTGGAGCACAGAGTCTCATGGAGCTGCGCATAATTGTTCGTTGCGGCCTTGCGGTGTTGCGGTGTTGCGCTGTGGTTATTTTGAGAAATATGTCTTTGCCCCTCATATGTGAGAGTACGACGTTGTAGGTTCGGGATCTGCGATGACTTTGATCCTTGTTTGCACGAGGCGACGCCATTGCCTTAAAATTGATAAAGCCAAGTCTGTCTTCAAATACTATCCACGTATAGGACAATTTCCTAATTAGGGGGAGTGTGCACTGAGTTTAATACTCTCAAATCTTATTGTTGGGTTCTCTTGGCGCAATTATCAACTCATCGATGTGCGACAGAAGCTGGAGTGGAATCAATTAATTGAAAATATATATTTGAAACGAGAAGAGACTAGCTTAAATTGACTAGGTCAAAATTTGATTGCATGAACTAACTACGGAGTAGCATGGTATCAATTTATCCTCTTGTTTGAATTTGATTCTCGGCTTTCTTAAGGTGCCAACGTAGAGCAAAGCATCAGCAGTCATCATGCATGATGATCTCGAGCCTCTTCTAGCATGCTTCACAAACATCCGGCCACCCGCGAGTTTTGTTGTGAACCGGAACCTCTCGATAAGAGCTGAGGCCAAAGCGACCGTGCACGACCCTCGACCCAATTGGCTTCTTTAGAACCATCTCCAATCCGATCATACAACAGCCCCAATAACCAACGGCTCGATCACGAGGTTTCCCCTCGACCTGCCCGGGTGCAGGATAATCTACAGTGTCTGTACTATCATAGGGAGTGTCTATGGCGTTAGATGCGCATCCGAACCTAGTTAGCATTGCATATGGGGGTTTTAGTTTCTCACGAGGGTGTTGTCTGGCTTCACATCCCTGTGCTAGATGCCATGTCGCCGAAGAAGATCGATCGCCCCTAGAAGCTGGGCGAAATGAACAATCCTGATTTCTGCTGTTACGTCTGATACGTATGTCCAGTAAAATTTTGCGCTCGACAGGCATATGGATATATATTCATGCGGAATACTGTCCGGGTTAGGCCTCCAGCTTTGACCAAGACAAAGGCCTAGATGTGTGAGATAAGGTACAGCTTGGGAGAGAGGCACAGTTGACCTACCATTTCAACTTCGGTTTTTCTTAGTCGGTGATGCCGCCGGAGAGTGACCGAGAGTTGTCGCTGGCTTTCATATCTCGATCTGGAGTCTAGAAGCCTATTATACTCACACTTCAGGGAGGTCCTCGAAGGTCTGCCGATAATTCAGGCCTTTGGCTGGTAAGATACCTCAATAAAAATTCTAACTCAGCATCTTGACCACTCTCAAAAACCTTACTATATGCTACTATGCGCACAGAGGTGGCCGAACCTGGCATTAGCAACCGTTGTGGTGACGTTAGCCGTCGTGCTATATAGTAGCACAGATTCGAGTCCCCTCGGCGTCGCGTTGAATACTATCCTTGGATTCAACTAATTATTTTCATACTTCATCACATCATGTACTACTTTTGAGACCTCACTAGGAGCGATTGCTTGTGTGAAGTCATTTATTGAGATAATACCATGTGAAAGCCAACTGGGCACAGCCGTAGAACTGTCTGTATTATGGCCGGATAAGGGGGATATTGGTATATAGGGTATCTCGCTACGCTATCCCGACGAAACCCTGGCCCTGGATAATATCTCTATGCACATACGTCCGGGTGAACATATAGGTATCTGTGGCCGCAATGGCAGGTAGGTTGTTTCTTATACTCTAGCATTCATTTATTTGACTAGGTTTCTAACCAATTCTCTATATTTTGGTGGGGAAAGCTCCCTTATAATAGCCATGTTGCGTCTGGTAGACCCCTCGCACGGCATTATTACAATTGATCAGATTGACATTTCTAAGATCAACCCGGGATTAATCCCCGAGAGGCTGATAGCCGTGCCATAGGATTAGTTCACGCTTTGGGAACCATACGCTATAATGTAGACATTATGGGACTATTTAGCGATAGCGAGATTGCATCTGTGCTGAAACAGATCGGGGGTTGGGTAGCAACTGAAAGCTGTGGAGGCCTGGACGCACTCCTTGAGGACCATTCCCTGTCGTACGGAGAGCAGCAACTGTTTTGTCTAGCACGGACAATCATTAAAAGAAAGACTAGTAGCGGTGGATGTCTGGTTCTAATCCTGGATGAAGCCACAAGCAGTCTTGATGCCGAAGCAGACTAGCGAGTGCAGAAAGTCATGAGAGACGTTTTCCATGACTGTACTGTTTTCAGTGTCCCTCATAGGGTACGTTGCCTGATTCGTCTGTCGCCCAAGAGCGAGCTAATTTTTGAATAGCTTGACACAATCATAGATTTTGATCGAATTGCAGTATTGGATGCTGGATGTCTTGTTGAGTTCGATACCCCACAAAATCTTCTTGCTAGAGAAGGTTTATTCAAGCGGATGTACTCTGGCACAGATGGGCAAGAGCTTTAGTGTCATTCATATCAACAGATCTGTTGTATTCTAGCTATTTGGCTGAATTTCAAGCAGAAGGCAATCTTTCAAAACCCACCATTTGGGTGGATGATCACTTTTGTGTACCCATCCTCCCTTTTGTCAAATTTCTCATAAGCAGTTTCAGCATCTGCGAGTGCAATCGCATGCGAGATCACAAAGCTGGGCTTTGCTTTGCCAGCAATAATCATGTCTCGAAGATATCGGTTATAGGACTTGACATTACACTGTCCGGTGCCAAGGGAAAGACCCTACAGAGGGTTAGGTGAAACGAAACAACAGAGAGGAGAATTTAATACCTTTTCAAATAATTTCCCGAAGCTAAGGCTGATCATTCCATTCGCGGTGGCAGCGTCAGCTGCACCGGGATCGCTATATAATCGTTAGGTCAGTTATCGGGAATCGATACAACAGTTTGCTAACATACCTAGGAACATATAATCCAGGTATTCCCATCCCACCACAAGCCCGTGTCACGCGAATCATGTTCTCAAGAACGATATTCGCCTTTTCAGCAGAACCATTGGAGTCAACAGCCTGGTATCCAACGGCATCGACCGAGCGATCAACCATATCCCCATTGTGACTGATTATCTGATCGACGGCATCTCCCTTTGTGAAGTCTATAGGAATAGCGCCAATGCTCTTAGCGGCTTCGAGTCGCTCAGCAACGCGATCAACAACGTAAATGTTAGACGCTCCTCGTAGAGCAGCGGAGTATGCGGCCATCAGTCCGACAGGACCAGCCCCGAATACTGCGATGCTTTCGCCTGCTTGGAATCCGGAAATTTCAACACCGTGCCAGCCTATAAATATCATCTTAATAAGTGATAAGCTTCGATCATAGAGGTAATAGTTTCAATCGTACCGGTTGGGAAGATATCTACAAAAAGCCATGTTAGTATAGGGAATTGCCACGAGACGAACGTCAAATCATCAAACTCACCGGCTAGAAGAACGAAGTCTGCCTCGTGCTCTTTACCCGGGGGTAACTTAAGTGCATTGAAGTCGGCATACGGGACGCGAATGTACTGTGCCTGGCCTGTATGAACTGTGAGAGGTGTTGTATCAACATTGAATCTTTCTTGGTAAGCTTACCTCCGCGGTAGGGGCCCATTGCGACGTATCCTAGGACCCGTTAATCTAGAATAATTGGGACTGGTCTCAACTCTTACCATAGGCACCGCCAGCAAAGCCAGGGTTGACACCGGTACAGAATGCAGTTCTCCCCTCCTCACAGTTTCGACACCGACCATCGGCGACGTTGAATGGCATAACGACACGATCTCCTTTTTTCAACAATGTAACTCCCTCACCCAATTCTTCCACGATTCCCATGTTCTCGTGACCTTCGCTTGGGTTAGCACTTTCCGCTAACAACTTTTAGTCTTTCAGTGGAGAAAGTAATACCGAACGTAATCCCGGGTTCAGCGGCTGTTCTCCCTTCGTACATACTATATCCCAGTCAGTCCCCTCGAAAGAAGCGTTTTGGGGCATTTTTGAGGAAAACTTACTGCAAGTCTGAGCCGCAAATGGCAGCCTTGATACCAGTTAGTTTCCTTTTCATTATCAAGTTGCCAGAGTCTTCACATAACTCACTGTTGTCACTTTTACAATAATATCATCAGGATGTTCCATCCTCGGCTTTTCGACATCTTCAACCCGAACTTGGTAGGGTCCGATATAATTCAGCGCTTTCATAGTGGTCGTTGCCATTGCGATTCTGATTGGGGGTAATTAAATCGTGAGGAGTTAATGGGGGGAGGGGGACCCGGCGGGAGATTTGAGTATTTGTAGGAAATTGTGAGAGTAATAGCTCATCAGTCAATGCATGATTAACGTGGAGCTTTATTCCCTCATTTGCTTTGCTATAGATAGCGATATGAGGGGGAGCTACGTTATCCCCGCACTGAGTTGACGCGGGGAATGTCGCCATTTCTGGAGTTGCCCACCTTGCCATGAGCAGATTTTCCGGAGTCGGAATTTAATGCCCAGGTGCTGTGGAAGAATTAGGTGATCTTAACACGTTTGATCGTGATTTGTATCACGGTCAGCATCGTGAATATGTGGGCCACATTTTCTTTTCTAGAGTTCGTGCCGCAAGGTGAGACTCGTAGCTTCAAATACAACATTTTGTTCAGACAGGTCAGTCTTTAAGTTGCATGCAACTATTACTGTGTTGGGTGTACTCATTCTATCTTCAGCTTCGACCATGAAACATCTTTGTCTCTTAAATTACAATCCAGTGAAGAGATGCGAGATGTATACATACCAGCTTCCTCCCAAAAGAAACCCTATCACGCAATGATTTTCTTTATTTTGATCAACGCTAAATATCTCCCGCATTTTCTAACATCACTCCAGGAAGTGTTATCCTTAAAATGGAATTTTACCCCGCAAAGTGACCAATCTAGGACAATACAATCGAGCGTTCTAAGGTTGGGAGTGGATACACTCTAAAATGAAAGGAGCCAATCACAGGTTAGCGCGAGTGACCAACCGGGGAACTTTACCTATTTGGCACAGCAACTTTTGATGAGGAGAAAAGTATAGAGTGAGCTTCCATAAGAACATAAATGAATTCGTTTCTCTAACTCAATTGGAACTTCTCCATACACCCAAATTTGCCCTCTATTCTACTTACACTATGAAAATCGACCGATTTCGATCTGCCTGGGGAATTGCTCCTGGTCCGAACATGGACAATTGGGCCCAATGGTTTCCAGAACTAAAAGCTCAAGGTTACAGTATGTGCAAAGCTCCCCACGTCTTGAATACTATATTGAAATCTTCGTTGTAGATGGCGTCGAAGTAGATATTCATCCGCTGGAACCAAGTCGTGATTTTCCCCGCCTCAGGGAACTATGCAACCAGACTGGTTTAGAGCTTGGATTGATGTCAGTGATTGAGCGTTCTAGAAGTGGAAAAGAGTAACCTGCTGATTTGAGTCGAAGGATACACTCATCTTGGTTTCAGTATCTCGGACCCCGCCCGGCTGGTACCAAAGCAGATCATCACTTGCAAAATTATCGAAGCCTGCTCGAATCAGTCCAGCAATTGAAGCCATCGACTATGAACTTCCAATCAGGCGAGTAAGTAACCAATTTTATAACATTATGATTGAGCGTTTTGCCTGACATCTAGCTAAAGAGATCTGTGGGACGTCGAGGAGTCCATTAAATTCTATAAAGGGACTATCCAGATTGACAGCGAGCTTGGAATATCTGGTCGTGTTTACCATGAGACCCACAGAAACCGATCACTCTTCACGCCGTATGCCACGCGGCGCATTTTGGAGGCTGTTCCCGAGTAGGAAGAAATCTCGTCTGTCATATTTCACCGCTGAATAGAGTGCTGATAATCACATAGGCTTCGGATTACTGCCGATTTCTCCCATTGGATGGTTGGATGTGAAAGAGTGCTGGATCTCAGCGAAGGCGATAAAGTCATGATGGATGCAATCATACCCCATGTAAGAAACATCCACTCAAGCTTTTGTTTATGATGTTAATAATGGGCTAGGTTCATCATATCCACGCAAGAATTGGAACAACACAAGTGTCGCAATGCCACGAACCTACAAATCCCGTCTTTAAAGAAGAAAGAGAGTGCTTTGAGAGGATTTGGAAAGATGTCATCCGTTCACGGGTCAAGGATGGAGCAACCACAAGGATTGTTTTTGTGCCAGAATATGGGTTGGTCCTCTATAACGTCCGTGTTGTGGGCTCAATGCTTACATAATCTTAGTCCATTCCCATATCACCCGATCGGAAGTGCTAAAACTCATAGTCAAGTTGCGGATGAAGAGGGCCAGCGGCTGCAAATCCTTTTCAATGACTTCGCTGCAACCTTGAACAAAGCTTGATCAGGCACTGTGATAATGTGGCCCATCATTTTAGACAAAAAAGAATTTGATACAACTTGAATAGAATGTCCCCAGGGATTGTATCTTCGCAGAGCCATTGTTTATATCATGATCTAATGGTAATAATATATGCCGTAATTTTTCCAATTTCACTCTGTAACACTGTAATCAATAGGAACCAATTATAGCAAACATTAATTGACCTCTGTAGCGCACCAAGATATGATCTCAATGATGATATTTGATATAATGCTCTTTGTACTAAGAATGACCGACCAAAGTTGCACGGTGACGGTTTTCGTCACTAACTGAGGTCTTTGTGTTCGCTAATCTAATTGAATGACTTCAAGGCTATATTTATAGAACATGAATAAGATCAGTGCTATCACAGCGGAGACGAAGATTCCAACTCCTCTTCTTCCTGCTTCTTGGTCCACCACCAACAGGCAAGATTACTCGCTATGGCAGTAATGACCCCCGCTAGAGCAATACCGAAACTGGTCTTATATCTATTATACGCCCACTTAGATTGAAACAACTGTGGTCCAATAACACCACCAAGCTGGCCGATGGAGTTCTGAAGACCCCAGGCAAAGGCTGTTCCCGTGGCCCCTCTCATAGTAGCTGAACGCCACGAGATGAAGGGAATGTAATAAATGTTGACGAAGAAGGTGCCTAACATGCATGCGACGTACAGTCCAGGTGCGGCGGAAACAACGAAGAAAAGAATGAAGGCGATGATTATTCCCGCATTATACACCCTGAGAGGTTAGCTATGTTCTCGCAACACAAAGGGATTACAAACATCAACTGAATTGGCTTTGAAAAGCTAACCTGTCGTAGGACTAATGCGCCCAGTACTACACCAATGATGCCCGTGGCAGCCGGTGGGATGTTGAGCAACTGGTTGGCCGGCAGCTTTGTAAAGCCAAAGCTGGTGGTGAGGGTGGGGAGGTACCACTGCAGCGCGTACATGCCGAGATTGATAAGCATTTGGGAGAAGGTGAAAGACCATTGTATGGGAGATCGGAGAGCAGCGAGTATCTCTTTTTTGCTGAAGGCCGGATCGGCTGTTTTAGGAGCACGTTCACCGAGTCGAGCCTCGATGAATTCTTGTTCGCGTGGGCTGAGCCATTTGCTGCTCCTCGGAGATTTGGGGTAATCAGGCAGCACCAGAAATATAACACCCGAGAACAAAACCGTAATGATTCCCTCAATGATGAACACCCTAAATATCATTTTTCGTTAGCATGACCTCACACGGAAGAATCGAAGGCTGATGGGAGATACATACCACCGCCATGCACTCAGTCCCCGTACGCCATCCATGTAGCTGATGCCGTAACAGAGCAGAGAGCCCACAATAGATGAACATTGGGATATCCCTAGTAGCCACGCAACAGGAGTGGCCATTTCGTCGCTGGGATACCACGAGTTGAGTTGTGTTAAGATTCCTGGATAGGAGCCAGTCTCAAGCATTGCTAACAGAAATCGCAAGGCGAGTAAGCCCTGGCGGTTTTGTACAGCAGCCTGACAAGCTAGAACAATCCCCCAGGTGAAGAAAATTCGCGTCTGCCACAACCTTGGAGTCATCTTCTTCAGAAGCAGATTGCTTGGTGTCTCGAAGATAATGTATGCAATCTATCCCGTTAGAGCTGTTCACGCGTTTGGAGTAAGAGACATACCATGTATATTGAGGATACCCAGTTATATTGGTCGGCAGACATATGTAACTCATTGAGAATGTTGGATTGCTTCCCCACCTGTAGTACTTTGATGCTAGAGACGTTGTTCACATCAATCTGAATCTCAATTAGTACATTGGATCAAGTCCGAGTATGCAGATATGATAACTACCTGCTTAACCATGTACATCAGACCTATTAGTAAAAGAAAACGCTTGTTAACCTTGCGACGGATCTGTTTTTCCTCTTGCGAACTGAAGCTAGCCAAGAACTCCTCCCGGCTCTCAGAGGTCGTCTCAACAACCAGCGTTTTAGAAATGTCGCTCATTATGGCTGATCTTCCAATGGTCAATCCAACTCTTATTTGGTTGTCAGTGCCCTTTTATATTTAATTTAGATAGCCTCCTGGTCGATGATAGAGAATGATCAGATGAATGGTGCCATATCTACTAGTATCACGCTTCCAAATACTAAATGTGATTCGTGTATGAATCTAGTGCTATCTCCGGGCAGCTCTAAGCAAAGTTCCCAAAGTTATAGAAAGGGATCCACGTAGGGGGGGGGGCTCGAAGATTTTCCCTTTGTATCATTATTAGGGTCTAATATTCAACTTCAACTGTTAAGTAAACCGTTTCTTCGTAGTTTGGTTGAATATTTACTCTCATAGCCATCGAATAAATATATGCTTATATCTTTAAGCCTATGCCGAAGAATAGCCAGAGCCAATCGCGACCCCGGTTTGCGCCGCGGGGGCCATTGGCAACTATCGTGCATGATGACGCCTTTCTAGTGCATTACCGCCTAACACACAGTACGTATAACGCTCCAGTGAGTGATTAGGCGTGATAAGTCGTGCTCAGCCTTACTCGTTGAGCACTAAACGGCAAAGGAAAGCTGATCTAGTTAGTAATATGTATGTGTATGCTAGCTTGAGATAGTAGTGTGAAAGTTAGTTACCTGCTATCAGTAAAATCTGATGTACGTGTTGGTCGCCAAAGTGGGTGAAAGGCCTTGGATTTCCTGTCGCAGTACTGGCATTCATAAGGTCATAAAGTCATGTGGGTATATAATATAGCAAACTTGAAAAAAATCATGAAACATCACGTAATAGCGGCGTATTCCCATCAATATCAATCCCAAATCTAGTCCGCCTATCATCAACCCGCGTGTTATCATTACCTCTCTCCACGGCCGAACCACGCCCTTCATGTTGGCCTTCATCCCCAACACTAGACACACTCGAACCACTCGAAGTTGAAAAATCAGACTGACTCATCTTTCTTTCAACTTCCCACCATCCCATTGAGAAAACCCCCTCAAACAACCCCCTTTTCCTCAACTCCGCATCGGAATATTCCGTGCCCCTCAGGAGTTCCAAAAACCTTGACTCAGCAACGAGACTCGCAACTGAAGCAATACTACACGGACTCTTAGGCAGCACTTCCTTGGTCCGCATCACACAAAGCACAGCAAGTGCACAAATCACCATCGTGCCCAATACACCATCCAGGATACGCGTGGAAATTTCACTCTGCACGAGATACTTTCGGCCATCATGAAAGACGCCTTCGTAAATAGGCGCGTGGCTGGTAGCAGGCTCAACAAACCAAGTAGTGTTCAGCGGGTCATCGAAAGATTCCCGCCCATTAGAATTGAATAATTGCGCCATGATGATGCCCCAAACTGTATTGAGACGCGCTGCTAGGATAGGCGGGTCGAGGAGTTCTTTGGCAGGGACGCCATGAATGCCGTCGGTCAGAGCGCTTAGGAGGATGTTGCTGACGTTGGGGTTTGTTTTGAAGAGGTAATTATCGATCGTGCTCAGCGAAGGAAAGGAGTTGATGGTCGTGTTGAAGACCTTTCTCGTTGTGTTTGGGACGATCCGGGGGTGGATGTCGGCATCAATGGAGAAGGAGGGGAGTTGGAGCCTTGTATCGACGTCTACCTCCTCTATTGTCGCATTGCAGTTGAGCAAATAATTTTCAGGTGACGCAACTTTGTACCCATAGTCTCCGTATAGTATGTTGTCAGTAGAGCAGTTCGAGGTTGCATTTTTGGCCGGTAAGAGGTAAGTGCCTTGAATGAAGTATGTCGTGTCTTCCACCGGGTTGCTTCCCATCCCATACTCATAGCAGGGGTCGTCGGATTTGCAGAAGTATCCAGTGGCTCCGGCCGAACAGTTGATTGGCGCATGTTTACAAGCGAGCTGACTGCGGAGGGCGGGGATGCGGACGTCGATGTAGCCTGCGCCTGGTGGGATGACGGTGTTGAGAAGGGCGAACTGCGGGAAGGCAAGGTTGTTGTATGTCCATTGTGGATCGGTCATGTTGAGATGGATAATAAGGCCCGCCATTTTGTCTGTATTGAAGTCGACAACTTTACTATACTTCAACTTGTCGCTCCGAGTGGGGTCCCCTAGATTCCAGCGGGTAGTTTGCGTGATGTTCATAGGAGATGTCGGCCACGAGGCTTTGGCAGTATAAAGACCGGATACCACAATTGGGTTTATTGCAGCAAGAAGTAGGGACGTTGTGGCTGCGGCGAGAGTCCATTGCTTCTGTCGGAGGTTATCAAATACCCCGTAGAGGGCGATTTTGCGAAGCTGGTTCTCGAAGATGGTTGTTTGTGGTGGAGCAGAGCCCTCGCGGAGGCGAGCATAAGGTTGGACAATCCGTGCGCCGAACTCGACGGATGCGAACACGACGCGGATGATAAACATGACCAATGCCGGGATATAGGTCCAGATGTAGTGGATATAAGGTGACTTTCCGTCGACTAGAGTGATACCATGCGTACTGGCGGAAATGTGGTAAACAACCTCAAGGCTGATGATCACGGCGACTGGAAGAATAACCACGGCAACTCTAATAAACCATGTACTCGAAAATGGATACCACCAAGTTGTCGAAGAGTTGTCACGTTCACTAGATTTGATACCTTCAGATGCCGATGTATCCGCTGGTTCAATCTGTGGGAGTAGCCTGAACGTTCCCTCCATATGACTTGATGTATACAGTGTCTGACCCAGCTTAGTATCTGCCATCTGTGACTCTGTCTTGAGCTGTGATTCTTTAAATGAGGCCATGAACTCCGGGCTCTGGGCAAATACAGCCGTCATTCCCCCAATGGACCCCGTATCTCGCGGACACACAGCAACCGGGACAAAGAAGAAAAGAAGGATGATAGCAATAGTAATCAAAAAACCCAGTAGAGCTGCCATCAGCCAGAACGACAACGGACGCACAAAGAGACGCTCCTCAATAAACTGCTCCGTTCCCTCAACATTGTGCGGGTTAGGATAGAGCAGCTCATTCTGCACGACTTGCCGCATAAGACATGAGAATTCACTTCGCATGGCATCTGTAAACGCCGCCATATCGTTCCAATATACCTCTTGTGAAGTGCCCTCGTGTCCAGTGAAGTGAAAGTCCTCGTCCGAAACAACAGGGCCCCCATTACCCTCGCTCAGACTTAAGGACCGGAAGCTACTATGGAGAATATTTGCCGCTGAGACATTCGCGATTCCCTCTGTGACCTTCAAGCTCTGCGATTGAATATACGCTGATATGGCACTCTGTCCAGGTTCACGCCATATTTTCACTGGGCCCCGATACGCATTATACCTAGGCTTGCAGACAACCAGGTGAATGGGAGGGGTATTGCTTGGCGATCGCAGTACTTCATTTCCTGCGAGCTTAGCGCTCGCCGGATTGATGACAGCTGCCCAAAGTCGCCAATCAACGGTCCAGTCAACAAGCAAATTTTTGCCGACAGCGTAGGCGTTGGCACTTTCGCCTCCACATGCGGTTAAATGCATCTCAATGCTAACACTTTTCTTGTTCAACATCTCTTCGAGGGTACTGGGGTAGATCTTATAATCACATCCCCCCTCGGCTGACCACATTGTGGTGTTTCTTTCCACGTCTGGTTGGTCGCCGGTACCATTCCAGTTCGGTGATGGTATGCGACCGGTCGTCCAAGTCACGGTCCCGTTCTGGCAATCGAGGAAAGGCTCAATGACTTCTATCTCTGCCTGATATTTTGGGCCTATTGGGATAGTATTGTTCCCCGTCGCCTTTGAGCTGGCTGGCTGGAAAGGGGTATAGATGTAAGGTTCGTGGAGGCCGAAAGGACGGGTTAAATTGTGGGCAGCAAACGCAGAACAGGCGGCGTATGACCGGGAGTCATAGACAGTTGGCCGATAATTGCCCTCGCTAAACGCTTTGGGGACGGTCAGGCTCGAGGGGCGAGTAATAGGCACTGAATCGAGTTCAAAGAGACCGGTTGAAAACACCGTCACACCGTTAAGAAGCAGCGAACCTGCCACACATAGAGATACCAGAAAGTGCTTTTGCTTGAGGGATTGATATAGCGATACAACGTTCCATTTTGACATGTAGTCCAGGAAGATACTCTGCGAAGCTGGCGTTGGGCCCTGGTGCATCAAAATCCACGGCATGAGCTGTGCGGCGCGGTATTCTGCCTGCATCCAGCCGGCTGTGAGGATCGTGAATACTAAACCACTATGAGATCAATTGCTCTGGAATTAAGTCATAGGGCTGCATACCTGCTGTCAGCCCATACGTCCATAGATAATAGTATCGATCACCATCAGTCTTGATTCCCAAACTGCGACCCTGCCGTTGGGTGTACACATAAAGCGCGATGAGTGTGCCGAAGAGTGACAGGAAACTGAACAAGAATACGACCATGATTGGACGACGTAGAAAAAAGGGCGCCCACAGTTTTCGATGGCTACCCTGCCCATTTTCCTCTTTTGCAACAGAGGCATAGTTGCCTAGCCGTTCATCGCCAGAGGGCTCTTGCGCTAGCATATTGAAGTTGGAGGCTCAGATTCCATCCGAATAAATGCAAGACAAGAAGGTCTATGGCCCGGAAGGTTCTGGGTAGGTGGTTAGTAATTGAAAGAAAACTGAGATGGTAATCTGCATATACCGAATTTCAGAATCTGGAGACCTATGGATTTCCTTTTTCTGGTTAGTTTTGTCTTTAAGGGTTTGGCATCCCGTCCCGTATCCGTCCAACCTTGGAAGGTTCCAAGGTTACCCAGCCCCACTCCTCGCCCTCTGTTTTCCCCTCGTCTTCAGCCTCATGCACTGCCCCTTTCATTATGCAACAAGACCGCTTGATTAGACCCTAAGGAAAATATAATTTTAGTAACCGGCAGTAGCGTCGGTGCGTCTGGAAGCAAGGCCTTTTAGGGCGGCTCAGTCCTTCCCTTCAAGGATACTTTCCAAGAAAATGACAAAGGGATAATACTACGAAGCTATCTAAACTCGCCCGGACTTCCTATCAGGCATTCTTTTCTTTCCCCTTTCTTCTATATCGGTAAACACCATTGCTGTACCTTTGTATTTGGTCCACTCTTGGCAAACGCTTAGCGCCAAGAGTGGGTAAACACTCAAACAATGCCAAGACCATTAATCATTGTCTATCTACGGAGTATGTTGTAGGTAATTATTTGATATGGGTAAGGCACTATGTAGATAAATATGCCCAGACAATGAGTCTTCATAAGTGTAATGCAAAAAAAAAAACACACAGAATTGACCTAAAAATTGAGTTCTCATATATCGTGATATGCGCTAATACCGAAAATTTGTACTCAAGGCTGACGGTAGTCAGCACTAAGGCATGAAACCATCTAGCGTATAGTGGCGGGTTCAAAATTGTAAGATCGGCAAGTCAGGCGCATTTCCAAACACACAGCATGCCCCAGAGCTTTCATCCAGAATAATTTCATCTGCTGGCTTAAGAAAGGGGGGAGCCAAGGTGAGCAGATGGTATATTATTTCTCATTAATCCGTACATCTCGGTGGTTTCCTACCGTCCCTCGGACTCCTCCCCTCTCTGGAAGTCCGAAATAATTTAAGCTTTCACGCGATATGATATCGAGCAGATCACTACGGAGTAACCACCCCACAAATGCCTCAAGCGGTGGAATGTATAAAGCATCCAGAGTCCCATATACTGTTGTAGCGTTAAATAATACTACCACCCCAAGGACACTGAATACCAGGGGCTGATAGAAATCAACATCCCGCGGCGTACCACGACAACATAGAGGCGCTGAACTGGCAGTTGAATTCCATTTCCGTTTTTATTTTGTATCCCATGGCACAATTACGCCTCACGTATCATTCTAGACGTGAACAGACACCCTACAAAAGCTCAAGCTGGGAAAAGGACACCAAATGGAAAATGTAATTTTCTATGCCTTTTTCTATAACCACAATTTGACTTGACATGACAACCGTGATCTGTTTCAATTGAATCAAAGCCAAATCGCCACAACAGCCAGCCCCGTTTCTCCTTGCAACCAGTATCTCAAGTATTAGAGGGCGCCACAGAGCGCAAGGACACTGGGATAGCGGTTGTATCGTCGGAGACATTCCATAGCAAGGAATAGATCCCATCGCCCTGCGAGCTCTCTCTGACATAGAAGCTGGACGAGATGTCGCCAGAATCCAATTCCACCATCATCCATGTTCCATAGAAGATGAAACCTGTAGTAGTCTCATTTGACCTATTCTTAGACGTGAAGCCCATTTCATCGCTCGAAGATGACGAACTAGGGATGTAAAGCATCTGATCGGACCAGCTGGCGATCGAATGGGCGGTTCCGTTCGTATTGGCGGTTCCGTTCGGGTTGGCGACCCAAGGACTATCCGAGGACTCAGATGTACGTTCAACTAGCATTTCCCACATTAATGCATACGCATGAAATTAGAGTGAAGGATTTCACTAACAGTATACACTTGAAGTAGTCGAAGCAGTTGAATTGGCTGGGTCGCCAATCAGAGCCTTGCCTATCACCTCGTCAGTATGCCTCAAGATAGTAGTGGGTGAGTATAAAAGCTTACCGTCTCCGTAGAACAGAGAGAGACCACCAAATGATTCCCCATACGCATACAGCCCAAACTTCTCACCTGCGCTGGGAGGGGTTCGCGGGACGACTGCAGAAGCGTACGCGGACGCTCCCAGGTACAGCATTGTGTAGGAGACTAAGAACTGAAACATGACAGATAGCGGATAGCAGATGATGAGAAGGATGTTCGATGTTTAGTTTTACACAAGATTTTACAGAAAAATAACTATCTTGTTGTCGTTCTCTATATACATAGTCCTCTCACACGTTGCGGCCTCGGGGGCAGAGCTCCGCTTAGTCAAAAGTTTAATGTGGGCATACAGTATCCAATCGGTGTTTAGAGACCTTTACGGTTCATCGCAAAATATAGATCTCTAGAGAGTTGTCGAAATTGGGTGTGCAGACGAGTCCGGGCCGCGCGTTAGCTGACGTCGGTGTCGCGGCGGCCTGCGTGGTTCCTGGTTCCTGCAGAGGATGTTGAAAGAACATGCGGGGAATTTGTCTAGCACTACCTGGTAGTCTATCAATTTCTTGTTAAATAAGAGGGGGTAGGCTACAATAACATTCCTTAGTCGAGTTGTTACCTAGGACTCTAAAAGTATAGCCACAGCCTACAGGTTAGGTTTAATGAACATCTCTTTCAATTGAAACACTCTGATAGTTCTTTTGGAGATAATCCTTTATCTCTCCTCTGTCTTATATTGTCTATGCCACGCAATTCATGACGGTGCCTGCATTAGGGCCTAATCCATAGTTGTGCAGGCCTGCTTCTAAATCGATAACTCATACCGAGGTACAATCTATGAGAGCCCTCGTGGGGTGCCAAGTGTCTTAAAGATAGTCTCGCAGATAGAAAAACTATGGATAGTCACGGATCGGCACGGATCGGCCAATCTAGCTCTGAAGTTACGCACCCTTATAGTACGTTGAGCGAAGTCAAGTCCAATCAGATGTCGTGAATTTGACTAGGTTGTCGATCCTTTTGATACTCGAGACGAGTTCCAACTTTTCCTTGCGAGGCATCAGACTGGTAGAGCATCGGGGGGTCGTATGTGTTGATAAAAGGTGGTCCATAGCTACATCTTTTTCTACAAATCATCTAACATTCGTTCCCAACAACATCACGTTCGTTGTTATTCTCTCTTTTGTCTTCTGATTTCCTTTCTTTTCTACATTTGCTCTGTGTTTTATTTGATACATTTTCAATTGCTAGCTTGACTGTCCTCGACTAATCATGAAGATTTGGACCGCTCTTTTGGCCCTCGCCGGAGTAGCCTCGGCAACCTCGATCCACCACAACGGATATACCAGGCACAAACGTGATGTTTGCTCTGGAAATACTGCCAGTGATAGACAGAGCTGGTGCAAGTACAATGTTAGCACCAACTACTACGATGTTGTCCCCACCACGGGGGTGACCAAAGAGTACTACCTCAACATCGAAGATGTCACAGTTGCCCCCGATGGCTACTCTCGTGCAGCAATGGCAATCAACGGGTCAATTCCAGGCCCTACCATCGAGGCCAACTGGGGCGATAATGTTATCGTTCATGTCACCAACAGTCTGACCTCAAATAATGGGTCTAGCATCCATTTCCACGGTATCCGCCAGAACTATACCAACCCAAACGACGGCGTTGTATCAATCACCCAATGTCCTACTGCTCCAGGACAGACAACGACTTACAAGTGGAGAGCCACACAATATGGCACATCGTGGTACCATTCCCACATTGGGTTGCAAGCCTATGAAGGTGTCTTTGGCGGAATCGTGATCAACGGACCTGCCACTGAGAACTACGATGTGGATAAAGGAGTTTTGTTCCTCAATGATTGGAGTCACCAGACCGTTGATGAGCTCTACGCCTCTGCCCAGGCCAGTGGCCCGCCTACATTGGACAATGGTCTCATCAACGGCACCAATGTGTATGGAGATGACGATTCAACGAGCCAGACAGGCTATCGTTTCAACACATCATTCACTGAAGGCACTTCCTATCGCCTGCGTCTTATCAATGCTGCAGTTGACACCCACTTCAAGTTCTCAATTGACAATCATACTCTAACGGTGATGGCTATGGACTTGGTACCGATCGAGCCATTCAATACAACGGTCTTGAGCATTGGCATGGGTAAGAGACCTTTTATCTACTAACTACGTATCACCTTACTAACACTTATTCCCATTCAGGTCAACGGTACGATATCGTGGTCAACGCAGATCAATCCACCGGAAACGACAGTTTCTGGATGCGCGCAATCCCCCAATCCGCCTGTTCCGACAACGACAGCACAGACAACATCAAAGGAATCGTCTATTACGGCAGCACAGCATCCACGCCCACCACGACTGCATACACGTACACCGATAGTTGTGAGGACATGGACGTCTCCGATCTCGTCCCGTACCTGGCCCAGAGTGCATCGCAACCATACTACAACTCCAGCGAGCCAGTCACACTAGGCACGAATTCCGAGAATCTCTTCCGCTGGAAGATGAATGGGACATCAATGCAAGTTTACTGGGATAACCCGACACTACTGCAAATCTGGAATAACGACACAACATTCACCGATGAAAGCGGCGTAGTCGTGCTTCCGCTCGCCGACCAGTGGTCCTACGTCGTCATCGAAACCACCATGACTGTCCCGCATCCTATCCACTTACACGGCCACGACTTCTTCATTCTCGCGCAGGGAACGGGAACATACAGCTCCTCCGATATCACGAGCTTGACGAACCCGCCCCGACGGGATGTGGCCATGCTCCCCGGCTCTGGGTATCTTGTTGTTGCGTTCAAGACGGATAATCCCGGGGCTTGGCTGATGCATTGCCATATTGGATGGCATACTGAGGAGGGATTTGCTATTCAGTTCTTGGAGAGGTACTCGGAGGCGTGGAAGTTGATTGATTATGATACATTGAATTCTACTTGTGAGGCGTGGGATGCATATGTCACCGAGGAGGAAGTTGAGCAGGAGGATGATGGTATATAGATATGATGGTATATATAGATGTTCAGACAGTGGAGAGAGAGAGAGATTGATAAGATGAGAGCTCGCTCTACCGTTAGTGAATTCGATTAATATAGAAATGAGCTTCACTTGTCCATTCTTTACCTTCGTCTTCAGTTGTCCCCTATATCTTTAAATACCGACAACCGATGCCTTCGGTGGATATGACCAGGGTTCGATCTTTACTTATCCTATGCGATCCAAAACTCTGTTTGAATCCTCAAGAAATGAAAACATCCAGCAAGTCTTCGAAGGTCCGGAGCAGAGTCACCACGGCATTGCCTCTTATACTCATCCAGAAGCCTAACAATAGCTGTATTCAACCTTGCCGGCGCATGAAAGATGGCAAATTCAACTTTTTCAAGTCGAAATCAGCCGCAATTCGCCCTGTAGAAAGCAAACCCTCAACCACCTCGATGTTCCCTTTATGAGCAGCGATCATAAGGGGTGTATTCCCCTGTTTGTTCTTCACATCCGGATCTACCCCCCTAGCAAGAAGCAAGTGCATGATATGATTCCGTTCTTGATGCACAGCTCTCAAAAGCGCCGTATCTCCATATTCATTCGCCAGATTTGGATCGACCACCTCGTTAGCAAGCAGCAAATTAACAACATCTACGTGTCCCCCAGTAACAGCGGCTATAAGAGCCGAGTCTCCAGTCCCAGCGTCTTGTTGGTTTAGGTCCACATTAGGTATAGCAAGAAGCAGTTTCACAATCTCCGCGTACCCATTCCCCGCAGCGGCTAAGAGAGCACTGTGTCCGCGGTGGGATCTAGCATCAGCTTCCACACCTTCAATGCCAAGAAGACGCTTAAAGATCCCTAGATGCCCATTCCTAGCCGCTGCTATCAGCGGCACTTGCCCGAATCGATCCCTCGAGCTCGGATCTACCTTTCTCGTGTGCAGTAACTCCTCTACTATACTTTCTGCCCCCTCGCTGGCCGCGACTGCCAGAGGTGTTTCCCCGCGAAGGTTCCGCTGATCAGGCTGGATATCTTTTATAGACAGCAGCAACTTCACGACGAGAAGGTAATCTGCCGTCGCGGATTCCCTAGCATATGAGGGCTTAGGAGGACCCCAAGGGATACGGGAGGAAGAACGCAGGCTATTTCCGGCTGCCCAGCAGAGCGGGGTTTGGAAATACGCGTCGGGCGTATTAGCGTCCGTCTCTGCCGTGGACAGGAGAATTGAAACAACATCCGCGTGTCCGTTCCCAGCTGCCCATGACAGGGGAGTTCTTTTGTGTTGATCTTTTATGTTAGGGTTGGCGCCCTCGCTCAAGAGGCGACTGCAGGGGGCTGGCTTGCCGCGTTCGGCAGCCCATAGTAAGGCCGAGCTTTTTTGATTGGAGATCTGGTCTTTGTAGAGAATGGGGTTGGTTATTCGGTATAGGAGGTGAGATGTTTGAGCTAGGGAATTCAGGTCTTGTGGAGCTGAGAGGAGGTGGTTGGCGATGGATATGAGTAATTCAGTTGGGAGGGTTGATAGATGCATGTTTTTAATTTGCGTACAGCATATGAACAGAAGAATGGGAAGCAAACGGAGTTTGATGAGGGGAACTTCGTGGGCTGTGGGGAACTTAGTGCTAAAGAATACCTGAACGTCAAAACCACCTTATGCACCTTGGATGTGACATTTTCTATGATTTCGTCACTTCGTTATATTTCTTTGTCTAATACTTCGACCAGTCCAACTAAACTTAGAAACTACTTGCAGCTATTGAAATGAAAATTACGAAAGGTGTATCCATCCATCTAGTCTACCCCCTCTGCGTAATGGCAACTCCCACCCGGAAATGCTTCAAAAAGCGCCCCCAAACAACCTTTCCCTCAACCTCCCCAACAGCAATAGGCCACAAGACCCTCCCCGTACCATCTTCAAATCCAATCGGACACCCTTCCACAGTCCGGCACTCCGGTGCAGCACTCATATACCCCGGATCAACAGAATTCATAGCAACACGCCGGCCCTTCCATGCAGCGTGTGCTTCTGTCTCTGTTATCATGTGGATCGCGGCTTTGGACATATTCGTGTGTACGTGGTGTCCGGCTTTGCTGCTTGATTGGGGTGTATCTTCTAGTATTCCTTCGCGGGATGAGACATTTATTATGTACCCTGCGGGTGTGGATGGAGAGGGAGAGGATGAGGAAGGTGGGGTCCCCATTACTGGGAGGAGCTCGCGGCAGAGAATTAGAGGCACGAAGGCGTTGACGGAGTGGGCGCTTATTAGATCTGAGTAGGGGATTTCGTGGAGGGATTGAACCCAGGATGATTTTGAGAGCTCTTCATCTTCATTTTCGGTTGTTCGGAGGCCTTTTGTGGCTATTTGGTTTGTAGATTGGTCATTGCTTGCGTCTTCAATTTGAGCCTGAGTTCTGTTGTTCGTAATGCGTGGGATCCAAGTTGCTTGCTGTCCTCCTCTTACGCGGGGTGTGTATCTTTCGTTCTCGGATTCTGCGAGTAGAGCGATGGCCTTTGGATGATTTTTCAGATGGTCTTCTCTGGAGATAGCTCGCACTTCTCCTTTGACGGGATCGGTGAGGGTTTGTGCCGCGTTGTTGATAAGTATATCCAGGGATTGTGGTGTATCAGATGGAGTCTCACCGTCCCAAGCACAGAGTAATCGTTTGACAATTTGTACTAGCCGAAAAGCATCATTTGCTGTTCTGAAGTCTGCGCCGACTAGTTTCAATCTTTTCTTCCATTGACTGAAGTCTGGCTCTGTGGAATACCGAAATGCAGCATCGGCTGGATACCGAGACGATACGATGACTTTGGCTCCACAACGGAGGAGTCTTAACGTAGTGAAGTAACCTAGGTTTATTCTCCCGCCAGTAACAAGCGCAATTTTACCACTGAGGTCCAATTTTTCTGGTAGGGAGAGATTCGAGCAGCCGATGTTAAACATGCCGCATTGGCGACATAGTGCCGGGTAAAGTTCGTGGGAATCAGTCGGCGAGAAACGGTACCGACAGATGTAACATCTCTTCTTCACATCTGAGGTTCTTGGTGCAACGTTTCTCTGGAATCGTTCATGCTGTGTGTATCGAGTATTATCGTTCAAGGATAATTGTTCTCGTACGGCTAGAAGAACCTCAGACAGAGGCTTTGTTGGAGCAACCACTCTGTGCTTTTGAAGATAGTCCAGCACTTTGAGTGTTGTCTCCAACTCGTCTGATGTTGGGACGTGCATACTATCCATAGATGTATGTTCATCGGATTTGGTCATCACTTCCAATTGGCCTAGGTAGGCCTTGATGCCTTTGATAATGCTGTTGCATCTAGTCGACCGCAATGCTTTCGAAACTTCGCTGTGCGGAGTTAGGTGCCACGCTATTTCGTCAAACACAGCATCTGTAACTGAAGATAGCTGGATTGCTATATTACTAGGCACTTTTCTCTCCCTGCAGGCTTTTTGGTCTTGTCGCAAGCGGTTTGCGATTGTCTCTGCGTCTGGCAGGTGCAATCCCTGCAGTTCTTCTTTCATCTTGTTATTCGAAAATAAAAAAATTGAGGACAAAATACCGAACAGGATCGAAGGTCATAGATAATAAATAGAAGCTTAGGATGACTCAACGGAAATGACTCAGGCTGTGTTTGGCCCCCTGTGGGCTACGTAGCCTCGTCGTATGAGGCTCCACAAAATCCCCTTATGGTATTTGACAATTTTCTCATCGTCTTTCATTTTAACACATCCTTCAAAGACAATAGACGTGACAAAATGGGCTATCAAAAAGGACCAACCAGTTCCATAGTCTGCAACATAGCGGCTATGCCGACCGAGCTCGCTCATCAAATCATCGATGACCTGCGAGTATGGGATGTCCTCAAGCTACTATGCTACGATAATGATCAAGTGGACGCCTGCATCATGTCCCATCCGGTCTGCCGCAACATGTTCGGTGCCGACCTGGAAACTCTCGCCAAGTCGAAATTCGCTGCCCACCTCTACCGAGATATATTTATGGCAGTGGGAAAGTCATTTGTACAAGAACCCTGGCGTGGAACAAACTATCTTGGCACAAATATACACTGTCTTGTGCCTGAGAAGCATGGAGAGATCTTGAATTATATGAACGAACGCATTCATGATGAGCTCAATATTCATTGGTGTAAATTGGACCTGACTCGGTTCGGTGCTCCTGCTTACTCCAACGAATTTGGAGATATACATCCCAAGAACTCCTATTCTTTCGAAGAGCACAAGAAATGGTGGCATGAGATACAAAAAGCAAAGGCCACTTTATTCCACTTGAGGGCTTCAGAGCTTCGCTGGACCGCTGATATGTTGGAAGCAAATTCGGATATCCTAAAACGCACACTAGACCCGGCACAGGAAATCCGACCAAATACCGTACACATCGTGTCGAGATTGCGGTATGGTGCTGATGCAATCATGCGCTCTCCAAATGAGAAGTTCGTCTTGTCCGAACATTTCATTTATGACTTCTTGGGAATCATTCCGTTCGACTCGGCATTGGACCGACTGTTGTATATGATGCAAAAGCATGGTCTTACAGAAGGTGATCGGGTTGTGGTGAGCAATACAATCATTTTACCTGGTGGCACATCGCACCCATCTTCTATCGTCAAATCAGTTCAAGTTATTGTCGATGGGATGCCGAAGTTCTATATCTCACCCCCCGAGACGCCAGAGCAACGAGCCAATATCACCTGGAGGAATGCAGCCAACGAAGATGGTGATCTTCTTCGCACGGCAAATACTCCGTGGTCCGAACCGTTTGGTGCAAATGAACGGGTTTCCTTAAAGGGGCCGTTTTTCACAGCATTCAAATATGGTGATAGCAAAGGTTACTTGCGGCCAAAACCCCTTTATTGGGATCCTCACAACCAGATGGAGAAAGAATGGTTAGGCAGTTTTGTCGAGGTTTACCGGTACTTGAAGAACTTGGATGTATAGGCGTTTTTCTTGATCAGAACCGTTTCGATGCCTGTAAGCCTTTGACTGGGATCAGCAGGGCAAATAATGACACAAATTTTTGCTCACAAAAGAATAGCGTCACCGGCTGTTTGATGTCGCGTCAGACATGGCTATTGAGTTAGTGTAGTCTTGCGTTGAGCAAAAGGTTCTGAAGACGAAGGATATATATCAGGACCAAGATCCCAGGGGTCGGAGGGGATATGATACACTGGTCTTGTAGCGTCTACCGGAGGGTATTTTCTTTCTTCTGATAGAGACACAAGCCCAAATATAGCATACAGCAGATTTTGAGGGACAGATTTGCCATGTCATGCGAATCTCTACATTGATGATATTCCCAGCCTTTATTTGAGGAGATAACGTTCAAGAGGGCTAGAAGAACGACTGGATTGATACCTCTATGCAGATGATTGTGGCCCTCGGGCAAATTTTCCCAGAAACAATTCCCAGAGAAATTCACACGGTGGCTTGGTCCTGTCGGATTTTCCGCCACTCCTCCTTGAGAATTCCCAAATGCACTTCATCCCACCATTGATCATCTTTGAACAAGCATTCCCTTCTCCGTCCCTCCTCCCGGAAGCCAAGTCTCTGATAGATCTTGTGTGCGCGAGTGTTCCAACCAAAGACATTGCACTCCACTCGGTGCAGACCAGCATTCTTGAACGCCCAGTCAAGCATCCAGTCGATTGCCTCGCCGCCGTATCCCCGGGTTTGATATTCTTTCTTGATATCAATGCCAAATTCTGAGCAACGGTGATGGGCCATATCTGGACTTGGAGACTTCAAGAAAAGTGTGCCGATGCGTTCAGATGGTATCCGGCTGCCTGAATCGTCGGTGGTTCTACAGATGACCACAAACAACAGCGAGTTCTCAATGAGGTGCTTTTTGATGTTCTCGGTAAATTGGCGGTCCATGGGTCGTATGAGTGATGCACAGGAGTTTGTGAAGGCAACCGGATCACTCTGGACGGAATGGAAGAAGTCGTCATCCTCAGGAGAGTTGAAACTATGGTATTCCAGACGATCGGAGCGGAATAAATCCATGAGGCTGGATGGGGATGATGGAATGTCAAGATATTGCCGTTGCTCAGCAGAGGAAAGAGGGATGTGTGAGAGAGAAAAATATAAGAGAAAGATCCACGGGCTGCAAATATAAATATGTGAGGGGTTCCTTGTGTGATCAGGTGACAGGAACAGGGGCATAGCAAAGGGTCGCATTATAATTTCTCACCATGATTTGTATTAACTAGAGTGGTTTTGCATAATCATCCATCTGTGGAGTCCAAGGAGTCTCGCATAAGCATCGCACTTCAGAAAGATCGAGGTATGATATGTCATAATTGCCGAGGAATGGACTAAATTATTGACAACCAAGCTAAAGTGCTAAACTAACTATATCAAGGCACCAGGTACAGGCAATCTTCATAATGTCTAAGCTTCCAAACAAGTCGCTTGATATGAGTAACACAATGAGGATGAGTAACCTGAACTAAATTGCTACCTCCTCCCAAGCCAGACAGTTTCTTGGTTTCTTCACCTCGAATACTTAAGCGTGTGGTCGTTCAAAAATAATCAAACTATAGACTTATCAGCCCCGTTGCCAGATTCCAAGGCATGCAATTTGCTGCTCGGTGAGCTCACGTCTTAGCTTTGTGTAGCCTTTGGCCGCATCTTCGTCAACGTCGCGCTTGGTATAACCCTTCGCGGCATCTTCATCGACATCGCGCCGGGTATAGCCCTTCGCGGCATCCTCGTCGACCTCACGCTTGGTATATCCTTTAGCAGCATCCTCATCGACGTCGCGCCGGGTATAACCCTTCGCAGCATCCTCGTCGACATCGCGCCGGGTATA